AATCAACATCCACGGAAGCAGCAGTCAAGATATCAAAAGACACATTACATTGGGCAAATCTGCTGCAAAAGACCTCTTTAAAGTGTTGAAAAGCAAAGATGTCACCTTGAAGGCTGAGGTGTGCCTGACCCAACCCGTGGTATTTTCAGTTGAATCATATGTGTGTGAAAGCTGGACAATGAATAAGGAAGACCGAAGAAGACTGACACCTTTGAATTGTGGTGTTGGTGAAGAATATTGAGTATAGCATGGACTGCCAAAAGAACAAACAAATCTGTCTCGGAAGAAGTACAACCAGAATGCCCTTTAGAAGCAAGGATGGTGAGACTACGTCTTACATACTCTGGACATGTTGTCAGGAGGGATCAGTCCCTGGAGAAAGACATCATGCTTGGCATCATGGATTGAACTGTGTCCCCCAAAAATATCTGTCAACATGTGTAGGTCATGATTCCCAGTATTATATGATTGTCTACCATTTTGTAATCTGAGGTTATTTCCCTGTGTTGTAAATCTTATCACTATGGTGTAATAAGATGGATTAGTGGCAGTTATACTGATGAAATCTACAAGATTAGTGTCTTAAGCCAATCTCTTTTGAGATATAAACGAGAGAAGCAAGCAGAGAAATATGAGAACCTCATACCACCAAGAAAGCAGCGCCAGGACCAGAGCATGACCTTTGGACCCGGGGTTCCTGCACGGGGAAGATTGACAACAAGGACCTTCCTTTAGAGCTGACAGAGAAAGCCTTCCCCTGAAGCTGATGCCCTGAATTTGGACTTGTAGCCTACTAGACTGTGAGAGAATAAATTTCTCTTTGTCAAAGCCATCCACTTGTGGTATTCCTGTTATAACAGCACTAGATGACTAAGACACTTGGTAAAGTACAGGGTCAGCACAAAAAAGGAAGACCCTAAAGGAGATGGATTGACACAGTGGCTGCAACAATGGGCTCAAGCATAACAACGATTGTAAAGATAGCGCAGGACCGGGCAGTGTTCGTTCTGTGGTACATAGGGTCGCTATGAGTTGGAACCGACTCCACAGCACCTAACAACAACAAAAACCATCCTCTGTTTTATGATCTCATGTGGCAGCCAATCAGTCAAAAGGGGAGTTTCCTTGGGGGTGTGGTCTGCATGCAATTTATAGATATTCTGGCAAAGCTTGCCATCCCCAGATCCTGCATCCAACTCACCATCCTCTGACATCTAGAGCCAGCAGCCTGCCATCTGACCTGCCAATTTTGGGTCATCAGCCCCTGCAACCACGCGAGTCAGGAGACGCCTCCAGCCTGAAGCCTCACCCATGGATTTGGGACTTGCCAGCCTCCACAACTGCGTGAGCCATTTCTTTAAAATAAATCTCTTTCTATATATACATATATTCTTCACTGGTTTTGCTCCACTAGAAAACCCAGCCTAAGACACTCCCACAACCAAAAAATCAAGTAACATCACTAGTAATGGGACAAATTGACATCATAGTGCACTGAGGACAGGACACCCCTTGTGTGGTATTCCTGCTAAAAATGCATGATTTTATCTAATCATGAGGAAACATCACACAAATACAAATTGAGAGACATTCCACAAAATAACTGGTCTGTACTTGTCCAAAATGTCAATGTCAGGAATATAAAGAAAGACTGAGGATGGGTTTCTAATTAAAGAAGACCAAAGAGCCATGAGAACTGAATAAAACACAGGACCAGAGACTTTCTTTTGCTATAAAGGACGTAATTGGGACAATAGGCAAAATATGAGTAAGGCCTGCAGATAATAGTATTGTATCAATTATGCTGTGGTTATATAAGGTTCTTCCTTGTTTTTTAGGAAATAGACTGTGGTAGCCAACCTCCAGGAGTCCCTAGTGGTGCCAACCAAAAGGTTGGAGGTTTGAGTCCACCTAGAGGTGCCTCAGAAGAAAGGCCTGGTGATCTATTTCTGAAAATTCAGCCATTGAAACTCCTACGGAACACAGTTGTACTCTGATACACATGGGTTTGCCATAAGTCAGAATCAACTCAACAGCAACTGGTAAGCCAACTTCCAAGATGTTTCCCAATGTTTCTCACTTTCTGGTATTCGTGCCCTTTTGTAGTCCCCTCACATGCTGAAAATGGCTGACCTGGGCAAGCAATAGGATGTTGCAGAAATGACAGAGTGTGACTTCTGAGGCTAAGTCAGAAAACACACTGCAGCTTCTGCCTCACTCTCTATTGGCTTGTTTATTCAGGGGGATGCCAGCTTGCCATGTTATGTAGACTGTCAAGCTGCCCTATGGAGAGGTCCAGTTGACAAATAACTAAGGTCTTCTGTCAACAGCCAGCATTAACCTGTCAGTCATATGAGTGAGTCATCTTGGAAGATCTCCCAGCCCCAGTTAAGCCTTCAGATGACTAAAGCCCTGGCCAGCATCTTGACTGCAACCTCATGAGCCCCTAAGCCAGAGTCATCCAGCTAAACTGCTCCCGAATTTCTGATCCACGGAAACTGTATAACACAGGAGTATTTAGGAGTAAAGGGGCATCCTGCCTGCAACTTGTGAAATACCTCAGGGAAAAAAATTTATGTAAGTATATAATCACATATACATATATACAGGTGTGTGTAGAGATAGAGCACAAAGTAAGCAAATGTGATAAAATGTTAATATTTGGGGAATGTAGGTGAAGGGTGTATAGGAATTCTTGCTACTATTCTTACAATTTCTGTCTAAAATTATGTCCAAAAGTTTTGTGTGTGTGTGTTTTTTAAACTGGAAGTCTTTGTGCTAGATCTGCCCTTCACAAATGTTTTGTCTGGTCTGCCCAGTGTGTGGAGAAAAACCCACAATTTTTTAAATATTGCACCAACATTTATAAATTGAAAGATTTTATGTGCAAATCTGGATTTTAGCTTTCTGTTGAGAAATGAGAAGCTATGGCAACAGTGGGCTTTACTCCTGCATGCCAAATATTGGCCTGCTGCTGAGGGCTGGTTACCCTCCACATGGAGAAGATATGACTTTTTCAACTGGGCACCTTTACACTTCCAGAGAAGCAGAATAACATAAAGATTAAGAGCTTGGGTGAAGGAATCACACAGATCTGTCCTGAGTTCTGATTCTGCCATTTCTTAACTGTGTGACCTTGAGCAATCTTTCTAGTCTTCTGCCCCTCATCTGAAAAATAGAAATAAGAGAATTTACCTCAAAGAATTTACGCAAGGAATAGATGAGAAAATGCATCTAAATAGCTTAGTGTAGTACCTGGCCCGTAATGTTCAGTGTTAATCATTGTGCTCTTAGCGATTCCAGAGCCTACACATGGCTGTGTGATGGGACAGCTTATGTTAACCAACAGGAGCGCTTATCACCAGCCAGCCACTGTGCCAATAAGATCTTTAGGTGAGTACTTATCTCATGTAATCCTCATAACAATCTTTTGAATTAGAGATGAATTGTCTCAATTTTAAAGATGAGGAAAATAAGGCTTTTAGGTAACTTATCCAAGCTTATAACATGCAAATGGGTGGGTGCAGTCAGGATATAAAGCTAGAAGTTTTAAATTGAATGACAAATGACTTCTGGAGAGCGATTGTGGGAGAGAGATTTTTACTTTTTTATATACCCTTTTGTAACAATCTGAATATTCCTTTACCACCTGCATGTATTATTTCCAGTTTTAAGTATCAGTTAATAATCTCACCAAAATTCAACACACACACACACTAGCTAATAAAAACTTTTTTTTTAACCCATGATTTTTAATTCTCCTAGTGGGCAGCAGAGGAGGGTAAGGCTAACTACCTTTTTGCAACTTTTCACAAAGGTCTCAAATTGCCCTATTACGTTACCTGCTCAGTTACTGGGCTCCCCCCTCCACTCCCCCATACTTGGTATCAAGCAGGAGAGAAAATTACAAAGTAAATAGTAAGCTTACATGGCTCTATTGTTACCTGCCATGGAGTTGGCCCGACTCATGGTGACCCCATGCATAATGGATGGAAATGTTGCCCAGTCCTGGGCCATTCCCATGACTGGCTGCAGATCAGACGTGTTGTGATCCACAGGGTTTTCACTCGCTGATTTTCGGAAGTAGATTGCCAGGTATTTCTTCCTAGTCCATCTTAGTCTGGAAGCTCTGTTGAAACCTGTTCAGCATCATAGCAACACTCAAGCCTCCACTGACAGACTGATGGTGGATTTGCATGAGGTGCACTGACCAGAATTTAACCGGTCCTCCTATATGAAAGGCAAGAATTTTACCACTGAACCACCAATATCTGGCTGTATGAGTCCTCTTTTGCCCACTTCCCTCTACTCATCAAGTTCTTCTACCTTTTAATCAGTAATTATACTTTACACACAATTATTTGCTAATCTTAGTCACTGAAGCATCCTGCAACTTAAAACAAGTGCCCAATTCTATATACTTTAGCAAGACATCTTTGGGTTATAATACACATTAGACAGATACAAGAATAATTCCAGTATAAATGTAAAATAAATTCTATTTAATAATCTCATCCTTTCCTTGAAGGCTTATGCATAAGGGCACATCTTATGTTCAAACAGTATGGTGTTTGTCTCTTTCAGGGGTCTGCATACTTTTTCTTAAAGGGCTAACAGGCGAAACTGAGGATATTATGTAGGTACTTACACAACCATTTAAAATATAACTATACATAAATATAAAAACCATTCTCACCAGAGATTTGGCCCATGGCCAATGCCTGGTCTACTTACTAAATTCCCTCCCTTTCTTGCATCATTTGTGAGACTGATGTAATACCCTTTTCTCAAAAAGGAATGATTTTTTTTCCCCTCTGAAGTCAAACTCATGATTCATCATTTACTTGCCCCATGACACAAAATACACCCACATAGTTGTTGATGTAGAGTATGATTTATTTATGTATTTGTACAGATGTTTCTGTCCTCATATTTATATTTGTCTCTGTCTTCTTGCTGAACTGTAAAATCCCTGAAGGATGAGGCCTAAATCTGTTTAACTCAGTTTGTACAAATTCAGCAGAGCACAACCATCAAGTGAACATCTGACATAGTTCAATAATGATACAACACAACAGAAAGCAATCATTGCAAATATAAACGTCAACAACAGATGTAAGAGAAAAGCAGATGGAAATACTTACAAACAAAAATTCTTACTTTATAATGCTGCTATAAGTAATTTGTAAAATCTACTCTTTAGATTTATACATGAGATTATATTGTTTTTCTTATTTAAAGCAAAGTGGGAAAAGTTACAATTACTAATAGAAGTAAGAATGCACAGACCTACTGGACTGACAGACACTACAGGAACCCCCGAGACTGTCAACCTAAGACACTCTTTGAACTTGGAATTGAAGCCATTCTCGGAGGTCACCTTTCAGCCAAATAATAGATTGGCTTATAAAATAAACAACATAACCTATGAGTAATCCGGTTTCTTAAACGATCAGCTATATTAGACCAAACAGTCAACATTTACCCTAAAGCAAAAATGAGAAGCCAAGCAGAGGAAGGGAAGGGAAGCTAGATCAATGGAAACAAAACAAACAGAATGGAAATAATGAGAAGGTTGACACATAGTATAAATTGTAACCAAAGGCACAGAACAAACTGTATAAAAATTGTTAAATGGAAAACTAATTTGCTGTGTAAACTTTCACCTAAAATGTAGTAAAATATTATTAAAAAAAAAAAGTAAGAATGCAAAGGCAAGGTAACAAATATTTTTGGCTCTTGGACTAGAAAATAATGATCACTAAGGAAAACTGAGATATAAAGAGGAAAGAGTTCATATTACGTATATTCTCTTAATGTTAAAAAAAAAAAAAAGGCCTTTTAATCATTTTTGCATTGACTGTACAGAGATGATATTTTTGGGCTAAAAAACCAATGACACTGCTCATTAAAACAAAGGAACTGAGGAGACTTTAACCAGACCATACTTGTAAAATTAATTCCAAAATGGAAGCATAGGGAAAATGTTCTAAGCATATACAAAAAATAAAGCACAAGAGGCCCTATCCTATTCATCACATTCCCTTCTCAGCTCAGAGACACAAGAGATGGCTTGGAAAACACATTACCCAATTAAACCAGAAACCCAAAAGGTTAACAGGTTTGGCCCAGTATGCAGCATAGCAATTTCATGGCTTCCAATTACATGTTTAACAGTAAGTGAATAAACCAATGACCAGAAACATGAAGAGTACCTTTCTCTTTCCAATGTGATAGTAAAGTGCTGCCTATGGGCATTTTGTAAGTAAGAAGTGTTTGAAGTTTAATTTTTTATTGTACAAAAAACGACACAACTAAAACTGACATGATTGTTTTCCATTCATCCAATAATTGAGGTAACAATATTATAAAAATATGTAAAAAATATTCTAGATTCATAATTATCAGATATGTGTAGTATAGCTAGTATAAACTTGATTATTAAAAAAATAGTTTTACTTTCTTAAAAACACTTGGTTCACGTATCATTTAACATCAGATAGGTATCTGTCATCCTGAAGTACCAAAAAAACAGAAATAAAAATGGTAATGTCTATACTTTGGGTTTCTTGTTAGGTGGATCCTGAAGACTAAACTTTGGAATTTCACCAGAAGGAGCATATGGAATTCTCTTTGAAGACACCTTTTTGCCAATTGTTTCAATCTAAGGGAAAAAATATTTAGAAAGAACAATTAACAATTATAATACATAAATGTAAGAACTATATGATGCAGTGTGACAGGAGAAAACCTAGATTATTTTTTCTTTTTGAGAGCATAAAAAGTTTCTCAAGTAGTCTGGGGTGCTATGAGAGATCTTGGTTCCCTCACTATTTTTTGTTCTTAGAGTCAACCTACACTCCACTTTTCATACTCATATCTACACATAACATTCCTGCTGCTCCCGCCACCAGGCCCTCACATGCCACTACTGTTTTAGTAAGGAGGCCTGGTGGCACAACAGGTAAGCGCTTGGCTGCTAACTGAAAGGTTCGAACCCACCCAGCGGCTCTGTGGGAGAAAGACCTGGTGGTCTGCTTCTGTAAAGATTAAAGCCTAGAAAGCCCTATGCGGGCAGCTCTACTCTGTCATGTGGGGTCGCTATGAGTCAAAAACTGACTCGACAGCACCTAACAACAACACCGTTTTAGCAGCATGTATAAAAGCATTTAACAGACCAGTTTCCAGTTAGTTCATATTTTCTCTCACATTCTATCTTCATTTCCATTTCCCTTATCCGAAAAAATTTGCATAAGCAATCTAAAAAAAAAAAAAACAACCCACTGCCGTCAAGTCGATTCTGACTCATAGCAACCCTACTGTATAGAGAACTGCCCCATACGGTTTCCAAGGAGCAGCTGCTGGATTCAAACTGCCAGCCTTTTTTGGTTAACAGCTGTAGCTCTTAACCACTATGCAACCAGGGCTCCTGCATAAGCAATAGTAGCATAGTTTTAATAGTTCAGGCTTCAGAGTCAAGAGACCCAGCTGAAGTCCTCACTGACACTTGCTGTGTTACCTGAACCCTCCAGGTCTTTTTTTCCTCACCTATAAAATGGTGTCACTACCACCCTCTTCAAGGGGTTTTGGTAAGGACTACATTAGATAAAGTGTTTAGTGTGCGAAATGTTTGGCATACAGTCGGCCTTCAATAAATGGTAGTCAATTTTTATTTTGCGTATTATGCTTAAAATTTTTTTCCATATATCCAACATCATCAATTTCATCTTTAAAGACACTGCTTCTTTAAACAGCCATAAGTTTATCTCCCCTCTACAGCAGTGATAAGGTATATTACTCAATTTTCATACAATTTCTTTAGAATTAAAGAATAGTTAATTCTGATTCATTCCACAAAAGAAAGGCTTCTGCTTTATATTAATAAATTATCCTCTGTAGTGATTTATAAATTCTGTTTATTTAGTGATTCCATTTCTAATTTTTAAAAAAATCCTTAGTACGAAAAGTTAGCTTTTGAAAGAACTCAAACTCATTTGAAATATGAGTCTTTCTACATATCTTCTCCCTTACATGAGTAACACAGGAAGGGGAGAAAATGTGACTATGTCTGGCAAATAACCTTTTTAAAATAACATATTTGAGTCTGAGACATGACTGGGAAAAACACTCACTAAGGAGGGGTGGGGCAGAAAAGTCCCCAAGGTCCCTGATGGGAGTGTTAACAGGCAAAGATGCCATCTGATCCTTGAATTTGTCATGAATAAGAAATGAACACTGAATTTTTTTTTTAATTGTTGTAGTTCAAATGAAGGTTACATTTGAAGTTAGTCTCCCATACAAAAATTTATACATATATTGTTATGTGACCCTAATTGCTCTCCCCATACTGTGACAGCACACTCCTCCTTTCCACTTGATTCCCCATGTCCATTCAACGAGCTCCTAACCCTTTCTGCCTTCCCATCTCACCTCCCGACAGAAGCTGCCTGTTTAGTCTCTTGTATCTACTTGAGCTAAGAGGCACACTCCTTACGAGTATCACTTTATGTCCCACAGTCCAGTCCAATCCCTGTCTGAAGAGTTGGCCTCGGAAACTGTTTTAGTTCTGGGCTGATAAAGAATCCAGGGGCCATGCTTTCCGGGGTTCCTCCAGTCTCATTCAGACCATTAAGTCTAGTCTTCTTACTAGAATTTGAGTTCTGCACCCCACTTTTCTCCTGCTCCATCAGGGACTCTCTGTTGTATTCCCTGTCAGGGTGGTCATTGGTAGCCAGGCACCATCTAGTTCTTCTGGTCTCAGGCTGATGAAGTCTTTGGTTTATGTGGCCCTTTCTGTCTCTTGGGCTACTACTTTCCTTGTGTCTTCGGTGTTCTTCATTCTCCTTTACTCCAGGAGTTGGGACCATTTGATGCATCTCAGATGGCTGCTTGCAAGCTTCTAAGACCCCAGATGCCACTCACCAAAGTACCATGCAGAACATTTTCTTAATAAGCTTTGTTATGCCAATGGACCTAGATGTCGCCTGAAAGCATGGTCTCCAGCTCCCTACCCCTGCTACTCTGTCCCTCAAAGTGTTTGATTGTATTCAGGAAACTTCTTAGCTTTGGTTTAGTCCAGTTGTGCTGACTTCCCCTGTAGTGTGTGCTGTCCTTCCCTTCACCTAAGATAATTCTTATCTACTGTCTAGTTAGTAAATAGCCCTCACCCTTCCTCCCCACCCTCATAACCATCAAATGAACACTGAACTCTAAATAAGAAGGGATCTTCAACAAGTCAGTGACAGGTTAAGAGAACCAGGTCAAATATGTCTGAACAGTAGATGAGACCTTATTGGCACCTGTCCAAGACAGCTGGTGCTGAGGAGAAGCACACAGCTAGCTTTTAGTCCCTGCCCCTCCCCTGCTCTGCTTGGGGACTATGCTGACAGCAATCTCTGAGCATATATCTTTATCCTCCCTAATCCTGCCCCCAGCCTCCCTCCACCTCATCCCCCACTGCTCCAAGGAAACAGAAAGTACCTCCTCCTTATTAATACTTTTGAGACCCCTGGTAAAAATGAAACAGATGTAAATATAAATGTACTGTTCTAGGCAGGCTTAGAGGCTTCTGTCTGCTCTCTAAATGTTCCAGAATTAATTGGCAAACTTTGCATTAGAAGAGGACACAGCACCGCTATGTCAGTTTTTTTTTTTACATGTTGCTGTAAAAAAGAAAAAATAGCATAGCGTGCTTATGAAAATACCTCGCGGTGGGAGGGCATGGTAGGCAAACAAACGCAAAAGGTGTGTGTTATCTGCATAAGAATATGGTGTATTGCACTTTGCAGCTTTCAAAACATATTTGTATATATTTTCTTACTTGATCTTCACAATATAAGGTAAGGCAGGGCACATTCTATCCTTATATGACAGGCAGCTGATGACTTTCTGGATACTATATAAGGGAGACCAACACTGAAATGACCTTTAGATCACAAATTTAGGGAGGGAGTGGAATAGTTACAAAAATCCCATAGAATCCTCCCAGAAAACCAACACGTTGTCCTAGAGCTATGTTATTTATTGCTAAATAAGAAAATAGAAAAATCCAAAATTCAACACCATTAAAAAGTAAATGACCAAACAAACAAACAACAAACAATCCAGGATCATGATTACCTGGAAGCCAATGGTCTGTAGTTCATTGTGGAGCCCATCCAGGACACGTCGTCCATCAAAGATAAAGGCTGGCTTCAGCATTTTTTTATGAATGCGCTCATAATCCAATTCCTGTAAAGACAGAAAATTAGAACATTTTCAAAGGAAAATTAGAACATGCACATAAACACATACTAAACCCTAACTGATACCAGAACACCTCTAGAATTTTCCTTACTATCATTTCTGTCACCTCACCTTAAACATGTCCCACTCAGTGCAAATAACAACAGCATGGGCACCATCACATGCTTCATATGGATCCTTGGAAATGGTCACAAGTCGGGACACTACAACAACAACAAAAAAATTGGCAACAGGAAAGGAGTTATTTGAAATTATGTATTTTAACAGTAGGAATGCAGAAGAAGGAGTTGAGGGTCTGATTATAACTTATTCCAATACAGAAGATTCTTACAGAAGATTCTTAAAGAGTCTCCAGTTTATGCTGAAGCCAATACACTGATAGAAGTGGAATAGTCTGGTTTAAGTGCAAGTGGACGTAATGGTGGAGTATCTGGAGCATTCCCCAATCTTGCCCCAGAAGGGCCTCCTAGGACTCTCTAGAGCTTTATGAAATATGTTGGAAAAATCATTAGACTACCCTACAGCATATCACTTCAAAATAAAGTTGATGAAACAATGCTAAGAGGTTGAAAAAGTGGGTATACCAATAATATAAATGATAAAAGCTGAGCAACTGAAGGTTTCTAGTAAACAAAGAAGTTCTGGGGCCCACACTCAAGCCTTACCTTGGTCATCTGCCGAAACACCTGGATGAGAAAGATCCACAACTATTTGTTCCCTTGGTACTTTTGGATCATATATATGGAGGTGTGCGCCTTCATCCATCAAATATTTGCTAATATATATACTAGACGATTCTCTGAAGGGGGAATAAAAAAGTATACTGCTAAGCTTTTAAATGGCATTGTATTTTAATACCCAGTAAGTTTAAGATACAGGTTAAGATTCTATTTCTTAACGGGGCTAAATGAAGAGGAAATAGATGTTCACTTTACTTTTAGTCTTTATACTACATGTAAACATACATTGTTGTTGCTCTTAGGTATTGTTGAGTTGGTTCTGACTCATAGAGACCATACATATAACAGAATGGAACAATGCCTGGTCCTGAGCCATCCTCCCCATCATCGCTATGTTTGATCTCATTCTTGCAGCCACTGGGTCAATCTTCTTGTTGAGGGTCTTCCTCTTTTTCATTGATCTTCTACTTTACCAAGCATGATGTCCTTCTCCAGGGACTGGTCACTCCTGATAACATGTCCAAAGTATGTGAGGCGAAGTCTCGCCATCCTCACTTCTAAGGAGCATTCTGGCTGTACTTCTTCCAACATAGATTTGTTCATTCTTCTGGCAGTCCATGGAATATTCAATATTCTTCACCAACACCATAATTCAAATGCATCAATTCTTCTTCAGTCCTCCTTATTCACTGTCCAGCTTTCACATGCATATGAGATGACTGAAAATTTCATGGTTTTGGTCAGGTGTACCTTAGTCATCAAGGTGACATAGTTGCTTTTTAACACTTTAAAGAGGTCTTTTGCAGCAGATTTGCCCAATGCAATACATTGTTTGATTTCCCCGCTGCTGCTTCCATGGGCGTTGATTGTGGATCCAAGTAAAATGAAATTCCTGACAACTTCAATCTTTTCTCCATTTATCTTGATGTTGCTCATTGGTCCAGTTGGAGGATTTTTGTTCTCTTTATGTTGAAGTGTAATCCACTTCATCAGTAAGTGCTTCAACTCCTCTTCACTTTCAGCAAGCAAAGTTGTGTCATCTGCATATCGCATGTTGTTAATGAGTCTTCCTCCAATCCTGATGCCACATTCTTCTTCACATAGTCCAGCTTCTCAGGTTATTTGCTCAGCATACAGATTGAATAAGTATGGTGAAAGGATACAACTCTGACACACACCTTTCCTGATTTTAAACCATGCAGTATCCCCTTGTTGTGTTCGAACGACTGCCTCTTGTTTTATTTACAGGATCTGCATCAGCAAAATTAAGTGTTCTGGAATTCTCATTCTTTGCAATGTTATCTATAATTTGTTTGATCCACACAGTTGAATGTCTTTGCAGAGTCAATAAAACACAGGTAAACATCTTTCTTGTATTCTCTGCTTTCAGCCAAGATCCAGTGGACATCAGCAATGATAGCCCTTGTTCCACATCCTCTTCTGAATCTGGCTTGAATTTCTGGCAGTTTCCTGTCAATGTATTGCTGCAACTCTTTTTGAATTACCTTCAGCAAAATTTTACTTGCAGATGATATTAATGATATTGTTGATAATTTCTGCATTCTGTTGGCCCACCTTTCTTTACAATGGGCACAAATATGGATCTCTTCAGTTGGTTGGCCAGGTAGCTGTCTTCCAAATTTCTTGGCATAGATGAGTGAGCACCTCCATTGCTACATCCCTTTGTTGAAACATCCAGGGTGGAAAGGAGGAGTGTGCTGTCACAGTATGGGGAGAGCAACTAGGGTCACATAACAACGTATGTATAAATTGTTATATGAGAAACTAACTTAACTGTAAACTTTCACTTAAAGCACAGTAAAAAAAAAAAAAAAAAAGTTGTTCACTCTGAAGATTAATACCTGCTCTCAATTGGTATTCTGTCAATTCCTGGGGACTTCTTTTTCGCCAGTGCCTTCAGTGCAGCTTGGACTTCTTCCTTCAGTACCATTGGTTCTTGATCATATGCTACCTCCTGAAATGGCTGAACATCAATCAACCTTTTTCGGTACAGTGTTGCTCTTCTTTCCCATCTTTTGATATTTCCTGCGTCGGTCAATATTTTGTGCATAGATCCATCAATGTTGCAACTCAAGCCTTGAATTTTTTCTTTAGTTCTTTCAGCTTGCGAGATGCTGAATGTGTTCTTCGCTTTTGGTTTTCTAACTACAAGTCTTTGTACATTTCATTATAATACTTTACTTTGTCTTCTTGAGCTGCCCTTTGAAATCTTCTGTTCAGCTCTTTTACTTCATCATTTCTTCCATTCACTTTAGCTACTCTCCATTCAAAAGCAAGTTTCATAGTATCTTCTGACATCCATTTTGTATACATATATACATTTCATACACACACATCCACCAATCAAACAATTGGGGTGACGTGAGGAGTTAACGCACTCTCAGTCGGGGGTTGAAATACTTAAATAACTGATACCTTGTATCACCAGTGTCCTTTTTGAATGCAAACCCCAAAATAGCTATCTTCTTATCAGTCACTGTATTAAACAGACTGTCTATAATCCGGGAAGCGAATCGCCTTCTCTGGTAGTCATTCATGTCTATGACCTGAAATTACATGCACAATTGTGCAATGATCAGTTAAAAGAGGTGCAGCCTATGACATACATTACTCAGATTTTAAGCTGAGTACTCTCTTATAAGCCTTCCAAATTAACTGGAGTCAAAGATTAACCAACCTCTTCAGCGTGTATACAAAAAAAAAGAGAAAGAAAAAGTCCCTCCCTCTACTTTCTGAAAGCCATCCTAAACAAATTTCCTTTCATTTGGCAAGATGTTCCATGAATTGGGCTAAGACAAATGTAAGGATGGGGAGCAAAGCTAAGGTTCATTTCTAAGAGCGTTTGAGTCTAGCAAAGAGCCAAGCAAAATAAGGTATATAGAAAACAGTGGTTCTTCTTCTTAGACAACTTCTTCTAACACCCTATGGAAACAAGGCTGCAAGCAATCAAACCCCAAAATATTCCCTTATATGCTTACCCCTCCACCTCCACAACTTCCTACCACTCACCACAATTTAGTGTAAGTAGACAGTGGACAGGGAACAGTGAACAATGTACACAGTTATAGCTGCCTTTGGACAGCTCATAACACCACAAACACTTGGCAAGGTTTTTAACTAAATGTGCTAAGAGTCTTCAATCACCTAATCTGTTACCCTGCCAAGATTTTATAAATAAAACTTCAGGTTGGTAACCAGGTGAATAAAAGGAGAGAGTCATGTGCGTGTGTGTGTGTGTTTCAAAGGCATAAGCTTCTAGGGGCTATCTCAAACCTGCAAAGCTTGGGAAATTAGCCTGAAGTGTTAGAAAGTCAGCCTTGCCTGTATTTTCCCCACAATGAGCAGTAAGATAAAGTCATTATGCTGGACTGAGTAAAGCAACACTAAAAGTGTACACTTCTCTAAAAAATGTGCATTCTCTTAGATTCTCACTCATTCATCTATTGCTAAAATCTGAAAAATCATTAAATCAGAGTAAATATTTGGGAAACTCATGCATCTTGACTGATACCTTGAGCAGATTACTTAATGTCTCTAAGTCTCAGTTTCATCATCTATAACTAACCAGATGCCATCAAATCTACTCTGACTCCTGGCAACACCACATATGTCAGAGTAGAACTGTGCTAAATAGGGTTTTCAATGGCTATTATTTTAGAAGTTGATTGCCAGGCCTTTCTTATAAGGTGCCTCTGGGTAGACTTGAACCTCCAACCTTTCAGTTAGCAGCCAAGTGTGTTAACCATCTGCACTACACAGGGACTCCTTCCTCATCTATAAATGGGAGATAATTTATTAGTGATGAGGCCTAAACAAATGTTAACTCTATTTCCCAGAGCTCATTCAGTGTTCCTAATTTGGGAAGTCTCTAATTTTAGCTCTGTGAATCTGAAAAAGATAAATCAAGTATCAAAACATGCAAACCACGTGAAAGCACTGCAAAACAGGATCTTCTATTATTTTCCTTTTATGCCTCTCAAGATAAAAACTAATTAAAATTAATAGTTCTTGCTTTACTCTGGGAGCAAATTTAGTCATAAAATTAGAAGAAATACTGGTTTATTAGAAACTTCGATCACAGTTGATTAGCAGAAAATGACAAAGTAAAAACAAAGAAGCCTAAAAAACGTAAAATAAACAAACTGAATATAATAATGGTTGAGTTCCTGGAATAAGTAAGTCCCATTCCCAAAGCAAATTCTTCAAACATAGATTAGACTGGACTATAAGACATAAAATGATACTTGTGAAGAGGGTGCTTCTTTGCTCAAGTAGATACATGAGAATAAATAGGCAGCTCCCATCCCAAGGCGAGATGAGAAGGCAGAGGGTCAGGAGCTGGTTGAATGCACACAGGAAATCCAGGGTGGAAAGGAGGAGTGTGCTGTCACAGTATGGGGAGAGCAGCTAGGGTCACATAACAATGTGTGTATAAATTGTTATCTGAGAAACTAACGTGAACTGTAAACTTTCACTTAAAGCACAGTAAAAATAAAATAGTTGTTCACTCTGAAGATTAATACCTGCTGCCAATAACGAGCTACTTCAGGCAAATTCAGAGCCTCACAGAGATAAACCAAATTCAGAACATCTTTCTGAAAGCAGCTCCCACCAAAACCTGAAGAAAGAAAAAGTCGACAATATTTTTATTTAAGAACCAGACAACCAGATTATGAGATAAATTTATCAAACTAAATCAGCATGCCTATGCTAGGATTTTTAATAATAAAAATCAGATGTTGGAAAACTAGAGGGTTTACAAACTGTGTGACATTTGCAGGCAATTAGTCAATGCTGTAAGTAGTTTTTAAATCATTTTCTAGCTAAAGTTTTATTATGACTTCATTTGACTTTTTGTTCTTTTTCTTTTATCTTTTTTTTTTTCCCTCATTTATGGTATCATTATTGTCCCACATCTCTTCCTCTAAGACAAGAGTCAACAAAGTTTTATGGTAAAAAGTCAGATGATAAATATTTTAACCTTTGTGGGTTAAATACAGTCTCTGTCACGACTATTCCACTCTGCCCTAGTAGCTCAAAAGCAAACACAGACAATATGTCATCAAATAGGCATGGTTGTGTTTCAACAAAATTTTAGTTCCAAGAACAGTGTGGGCCAGATTTGGCCTGAGGGCCATAGTTTGCCCATCCCTCCTCTAGCACCATCAGTATACAGTGAGGACTGGCATGGGCTTTGGAATCAGAAATACCTGGCCACTCCCTAGTGACATGACTTTGAGCAAGCTGTGAGCATTTCCATGAGTCTCAATCATCTCCAAAAAAGAAATACCAGCACCATCCTAACAAGTTATAAGGATTAAATGAGATCTATAAAGTGCTGGTACAGAACCTGGCACATAATATGCCTTTAATGAGTAGTAGTTATTTTTATTAAGTGGTACCTAGAAGAAAACATCAAAAAGAAAAGTAAATAAAAGCCAGAGAACCAGTAGTGGGAGATGGCACAGGGCCCCAGAAATAGTAGAAGGGCTGCCTAAAGTCCAATCTGTAAAAGACTATTTGCCTTTACACACTACTCTTATCAGCTTACCTCCAAAAATATTTCACAGGCCACATTTCCATAAGCATATTAGTAGGAAAAGCAAACAAGAGAGAATTTTTTCCTACTTGCTTAAATAAGCTGTTACTTGAGTTATTTCATGTGTGATCTCCCGAACTTATTACTCCTAAATGTTCTAACTAAATACTAATTTATTCCTCCCAAAACACTGAACTATGTTTATCCCACCTAATAAGTCAGTAATTATTAAACAATATAAGTAACTACTGCCTCACTTAGAAAGTCCCTGGTAGGCTGAAGGCCACCTGTATAATAAAATCATTTTTTAAAGGGCATTAGTAAGTTAAACAAAGACTTTCTTAAAGTTAATGACCTAGCTATTTTATTATTTTATTAAGAAAAAAAATTTAATTTACCAACACTGGCTTTCAGAAACTTATTTCCAATTCTCTGGTCCATTCCAATGGCTGTTGCTACCTCTTCTACATCAGCTCCTGTTGCTTCACACAAGGCACTTATAGAGTTAATGCTGCTGATTCTCTGGGCAAGAAAAGCATTTGCTGCCTTAAAAAAAAAAGAAAAGTATGATGAGCTAAAATTGCAATTTTATACATTTCAGTTATACTTCATTAAGTTGATGCAAATTACTGAGGGAGATGTAAAAGATACTGACAGACTCAAATTTGAGGAGGCACTGGATGGGTTTGTAAGAGAGCGTGTTTTAAATGAGTAAAAACAGAAGATTAAGAGTGAAAGAAGGAAATCAGTGATTAAAAAAACAAATGATTAATGTACTCTCCATTTCATCTTACATTTTATTAAATTTTAGAATTTTCCAGAGTGTTTTATACCCTGATATTTTATCCCCCTCATGAAAATTATTTCCGATTTTGAAAGTACAAGAATATAGTCTTCAAAAGCATAATCTTTTAATAATGTTAAGAAAGTACCTGTGTAAGAGGGTCCCAGACAGAGCTAGAGAAAAATGTAGAACAAAATTCTAACTCACAAAAAAAGACCAGACTTACTGGCCTGACAGAGACTGGAGAAACCCCAAGAGTATGATTCACAGATACGCTTTTAGCTTAGTAATGAAGTCACTCCTAAGGTTCACCCTTCAGCCAAAGATTAGACAGGCCCATAAAACAAAACGAGATTAATGGGGCACAACAGTCCAGGGACAAGGACTAGAAGGCAGGAGGGGACAGGAAAGCTGGTAACAAGGAACCCAAGGTTGAGAAGCGAGAGTGTGGACATGTTGTGGGGATGTTAACCACTGTCATAAAACAATATGTGTACTGTTTAACGAGAAACTATTTGTTCTGTAAACCTTTATCTAAAGTACAATTAAAAAAAAAAGAAAGAACTACCTGTGTAGCTTATCAGTTTAAAGTCAATAAGTACTTGGCTTTAAATTTAATGGAGAGTTGAATGCTATCTACCAACCAGTTTGGAAAGCTCTGAAGACCAAGTATTAGTGGTGAGGATCTTTTCTTTGGGAACCCAGCGCTCATATACTGCACACAGTGCCTGCACGGCTCTCTGGCCCTCTGGGGTTTCGTCCCCTCCAATCAGTACTCTGTCAGGGTTCTTTAGGTCCTTGATGGCCGTCCCCTCTGCCAAGAACTCAGGGTTGGACAGCACCTAGAATTCCAATGCAAAGGAAAGTTTTAAGCTAAAATTAATTACGGGCAACTTTAAGACATCAATATTTATATAAGAAGAAGCAGATTCTAATGCTTCCTTTTTTATACCTGTAAGTTCAAGCTGGGTTTTGTGTTTGCATCAAATATGCGACGAATACTCTCTGCTGCGCGCACTGGAACTGTGCTTTTCTCAGTCACAATTTTGTACCCATGTGAGTTTTGCACAATGCGCCTAGCACAAGCTTCAATGTACTTCAGATCTGCAGCCCGGCCTTTCCCCATTCCATAGGTTTTTGTTGGAGTATTCACCTGATGAAAGCATAGGAGATAAAGAACAGAGTACCTGTGAGATACTCAGTGATTTCAAGATACACCTGTTACCATCAATTAGCTATTCAAGTGGAAGTTAAACACTATCAGCTGTCCTGGTTTAACGCTCTATTAAAAATAAAACCAATACCCATTGCCGTTGAGTCGATTCTGACTCATAGTGACCCTAAAGGACAGAACAGAACTGCCCCATAGGGTTTCCAAGGAGCGGCTGGTAGATCTGAACTGCCGACCTTTCGCTAAACAGCTGAGCTCTTAACCTCTATGCCACCAGGGCTCCAACCCTCTATTAGTCCCATGAAAATAATACATTTTATAAACATAACCAACAAGAGAAAACAGCTTGATTCCAGAAGCATCTGGAGAACACAGTCAATAAATTTTTGTTGAGAAGCTACTATATATGTGCCAGATACCAGGGTAGGCAGGTTCCAAGTCAAGCCCTGGAGATATAAAAATGAATGAGATAGCTCTTGTCCTTAAGGAGTTGAAAGGCTGACATGAACAATAAGTTTTCTCTTCTTTCTTCTCTTTATTACATATGGTACATTATCATAATTTTTAAAATTAAATTTAAACTCCTTTCTTACTCCCCTTTTTTATAGGCCTGTATTAATAGCTTTTAAACTATGTTTGCATATTGTTCACAAATGCTTTTTTGGCTCTTTAAAGCTATACATTATCTAGCATCTTTAGGATATAGAATACCATGTGGAGAAAGGCTTTCAGATAGAAAGAAGAATAAATCATGAGTCTAGAGCCTAGGCATCTAATTTTGGCTTAGCTGTATCATGAAACCTTGGGGAAGTGTGGCCGGTTTTGCTTCAATGACCTCATTGGAAAATACAGGCAACACTCTCCCTAAAATCTAAAATCTAACACACGAGTTTCTATGATGCTCTAACAAAAAAAAAAAAAAAAGGTTTTGAAAAGTCTAAAATTCTATACTGGAATCATTTTTGAACAAGTAGTCTCAAGTCTCTTTACAAACTTATAACCTAATACCAGACAAACAAACAAACAAACCGATTGCCATCAAGTCGATTCCGACTCATAGTGACCCTAGAGAGAGAGACTAAATCAAGAAACTAAGCCAAAATAAATCAAAACTGGAAGATTGAGTTGAGGTGTGAAAAGCAAGGAAAAAAAGTTGTTTGTAGACATGGAACAACTTAGAAAAAGACTTAGAAGTGGAAGACAGGCTGCAGTGAAGCACAGAAGGACGAAGACAGCTAATGTGGGGGAAAGGTGAATGAAGCTGGCTGGAGATGAGAGATCATGAGATGGCCTCTCCTATTAAAGGATAAAAGTAAAAATCTGGAATTTGCTTACAAATAATCTGGGGCTGAGGGGAACAGTAAATGAAACAACATTAGCCATGATAATTGTTGAGTTGGAGAATAGTTAATTGGGGCTCATTACATTATTCTCCTCATTTTTTGTATGAGTTTGGTCATTTCCACAATGAAAATTAAAGAACACAGCAAACAAACAAAAGAACTAATCCAGAGAATGATACGAACCAGATGGTAGACTATGAGCTACACAGTAATAAATTAACCTATCAAGAACACAAAATAATAGCTTGGGAAGATTCAAAGCTGCTTTGGTTGGATGGGCAGAGAGGCACTGTAAAATCAGCTACCTTAAGTAGGACTGTACTATATACTCTTCTTACATGTCCTTCTTACAGAAAATATCCCTATTCCCATTCTAGGCTCTAAACCAAAAAAAACCAAATCTGTTGTTGTCAAGTCGATTTCGACTCATAGTGACCCTATACAACAGAGCAGAACTGCCCCATAGAGTTTCCAAAGAGCGGCTGGTAGATTCGAACTGCTGACCTTTTGGTTAGCAGCCGAGCTCTCAACAACTGCGCCATCATGGCTCCATTCTAGGCTCTGGTCATCCAATATTTGGATTAAAGTAACTTCTTGATTTTTCTCTAAGTAACTAGCTACTTCAAAATATTTTCTCATTTTCAATGCCTCTACCCTAACTTTCTGCAAGCTTAAGTAGCTTATGGATGGGTAAGTCACAGAAGCTCCATCAGTCTCTCTAAAGTGATAGTTGTTGTTAGGTGCTGTCAAGTTGATCGTGACTCATAGCCACCCCATGTGACAGAGGAGAACTACCCCACAGGGTGTTTTTGGCTGTAATCTTTACAGAAACAGATTGCCAGGTCTTTCTCCCTCAGAGCCACTAGGTGGGTTTGAACCACCAATCTTTTCGTTAGCAGTCGATCACTTAACCTTTGCGACACCAGGGTTCCTTCTAAAGTGACTCACAATTCTGACTCACAGCAACCCTACAGGACAGAGCAGAAATGTCCTGTGGGTTTTCCAAAGCTTTAATCTTTATGGAAGCAGATTGCCACATCTTTCTCCCGAAGAGTGGCTAGTAGGTTCAAACTGCCAACATTTGGTTAGCAGCCAAGCGCTTAACCACTGTGACACCAGGTCGTCTTTTCTAAAGTTATTAAAGAGGTCAAAAGAGAAAGACTGAATCGATGACATAGTTTTGCTTCTAGTTTCATTACCGTTTTCTTCTGGAGTTCGCATATCCTCACAGCACTGTTTTTGCCTCACCACTCAGAAAACAACTCCTTATTCAATAATTTACAATCATCAACAATAATAAAAAATAAACAAACTCGTTGCCGTGGAGTCGATTCTGACTCGTAGCAACCCTATAGGACAGAGTAGAACTGCCCCATAGAGTTTCCAAGCAGTGCCTGGTGGATTCGAACTGCCAACCTTTTGGTTAGCAGCCATTGCACTTAACCACTACACCACCAGGATTTCTAATCATTAACAATATATATAATCAATTAACAGCATCCACCCTCTTTGGGGAACCCTGGTGGCCCAGTGGTTAAGACCTCGGCTGCTAACCAAAAGATTGGCAGTTCAAATCCACCAGCTGCTCCTTGGAAACCCTATGGGGCAGTTCTACTCTGTACTATAGGGCTGCTATGAGTCGGAATCAATTCAACAGCAATGGGGAACTCTCTACGGCCACCACCTGATTGTGGTGGCTTGTGTGTTGCTGTTATGCTGGAAACTATGTCACCAGTATGTCAATATCAGCAGGGTCACCCATGGTGAACAGGTTTCAGCAGAGCTTTGAGACTAAGACAGACTAGGAAGAAGGACCTGGCAGTCCACTTCTAAAAAAACTGGCCAGGGAAAACCTTATGAATAGCAGTGGAAAACTGTCTGGTATAGTGCCAGAAGATGAGCCCCACAGGTTGGAAGGCACTCAAAATACAACTGGGGAAGATCTGCCTTCTCAATGTAGAGATGACCTTAATGACATGGATGGAGTAAAGCTTTTGGGACCTTCATTTGCTGATGTGGCACGACTAAAAATGTGAAGAAACAGCTGCAAATATCCATTAATAATCAGAATGTGAAAAGTATGAAGTATGAATCTGGGAAAACTGCAAGTCGTCAAAAATGAAATGGAACGCATAAAGATCGATATACTAGGCATTAGTGAACTGAAATGGACTAGTACTGACCATTTTGAATTGGATAATCATATGGTCACTTACTATGCCAGGAATGACAAACTGAAGAGGAATGGTGTCACATTCATCATCAAAAAGAACATTTTAAGACCTATCCTGAAGTACAACATTGTCTCATCCATATGCCTCCAAGGAAGACCAGTTAGTACGACTATTATTCAAATTTATGAACCAATCACTAATGCTAAAGCTGAAGAAACTGAAGATATTTACCAACTTCTGCAGTCTAAAACTGATCAAACATGCGAACAAGACGTATTGATAATTATTGGTGATTGGAATGTGAAAGTTGGAAACAAAGAAGGATCGGTAGTTAGAAAATATGGCCTTGGTGACAGAAATGATGCCGGAGATCCATGATAGAATTTTGCAAGATCAATGACTTATTCATTGGAAATACCCTTTTTCAACAACATATGGTGACTATACACGTGGACCTTGCAGGATGGAATACACAGGAATCAAATTGACTACATCTGTGGAAAGAGATGATGGAGAACCTTATTATCATTAGGCAGGACAAGGCCAGTGGCTGACTGTGGAAGAGACCATCAATTGCTCATGTGCAATTTCAAGCTGAAGCTGAAGAAAACTAAAACAAGTCCAGGAGAGCTAAAGTATGACCTTGAGTGTATCACATCTGAATTTAGAGACCATCTCAAGAATAGATTTGACGCACTGAACACTAATGACTGAAGACCAGACAAGTTGTGGGGTGACATCAAGGACATCATACATGAAGAAAGCAAAAGTCATTAAAAAAGACAGGAAAGAAAGTAAAGACTAAAATGGATGTCAGAACAGACTCTGAAACTTGCTCTTGAATGTCGAGTAGCTAAAGCTACTGATGATCACGTAAAAGTACAGCACAGAAGATTTCAAAGGGCAGCTTGAGAAGACAAAATATTATAATGATATATGCAAAGACCCAGAGTTAGAAAACCAAAAGGCAATAACAAACTCAGCATTTCTCAAACTGAAAGAACTCTAGAAAAAATTCAAGCCTCAAGTTGCCATTTTGAAGAATTCTATGGGCAAAATTGTAAATGATGCAGAAAGTATCAAAAGAAGATGGAAGGGATTATAGGTGGAGCCAACATGGTGCCTTTGACAGACGCATCATGCTGTCCCTCTGCAGCAAAGACCTAAAAAACTAAAACAGATACAAATATCAATCTTGAAACCCTAAGTATTAAATGAAGGCATAAAGAAATAGATCAAACACCAAATGGAAGAAGAAACTGATAGAAAACAGAGAATGAAGAGAGATATGGAGTGGTGGTCCCCTGCCAACTAACACTGCACAGCGCTGCCATTTTGGAGCACAGCCAACAACGACCCTGGACAAGGAGTACAGAAAGGCAACTTTAAGGAGATCCCAACAGGAGACAGAGTACCCGGTAACCAGAGAAACACACTTTCCCACCACTTACCTTTCTGCCTCATA